CGACATAAAACCTACGATATCTCAGCCAGGTCCTAGATCGCCGATAGGATTTCAATGCCCACGTCGAACGTCTTGTTCACTACGAGGCCATAGCTACGGCAGCACTCAGGAGGCTGCCCCCAAACATTTATGGCCAACGACTCCTCATGTCGCCTTTACGCCGGAGTCTTGCGCTCCATAACGCTGTATGTGGGACAATATCTTGAACCGCCGGAGCAAAGTGCTTTTGTATAAAACACAAATTGTGTGTTCATTTGCCATAGAGGGCAATCAGACGATCTCTGGTGAGGCGGCTTACCCGGCTTCTTAGCCTGGGACTCAGCGTAAGTTTTACAAATATAAATTTCACGTGGGCAAACACACATATCCGAGACAACTATCTGTTCGTCGCACAAATAGTTTTCCCATGTGTGAATCGAACACACGACCCCCGATTCGGAAGCCAATACCTTGGCAACTGCGCCTCGCAGTCATCTGAGTTATTCTATCGCTATTATAAATATTTTTCTATAATTGACTTTCTATTAATTAGTTACGACTTGCTTTGCTTTATGTGCTTAATGGCAATGGAACTTGAGTTTCACGACCCGATGCTCATTTCTCTCCGTGGAAACTTCGTTTTATAAAGGCGTGATATAAAATAAAATCAGTATAACATTACTTACCTTCTTTCATTAACATTAATTAAAAACTTTTTCTTTGTTCTATGTCCTAGACGTTTTTCTTTAAAGCCCTCTCCACTTTCATAATAACATTTTTAATGTGATGTAATAAATTTGTACCTAATTCTTAATTAAGAACGATTCTGAAGCGAAACGTTTTAGTGGGAGATATATTACATCTAAAGAAATTAAACATTGACAAATTCTCAACCGGCCGACTCAGTGTAAACAATTATATTATAATGATTCGAGTTTGGAACATTTTGATCTCTATAATCAATAAGTCGCGTTTAAATTGAGACCTGCCCGACGTTTCTATGGCAACGAGCCCTTTGACGGAGTTTCCCAGGGCCTGTATTTGCCGCCTCCTGATTTACTTGGAGCTCGGGTGTGCGTCAATTACGTATTTCAATCTTGACTCTTGCGACAACGGTGAATAATGAATTAACAACATCACACCCGCTTTCTATTGCTATCACGAGATGATTGCTTTGATTAAAGATAAATTAACAAGGGGTTAATGAAGCCACTACTAATGATTTTTACGAAACCAGATATGTTACAGGCGTGTTGGTAACCCCTGAAAGACTTAACCTTTGGTTTACCTTGTTTACTGACGGCAAATGTACTAACAGTCTAACTTTACGTTAGCTTTCTGAATCGCCTATGATACTTCCTCTATCGAACTCTCCCATTCTGGCAGATGCGTGGTGTTGTATTGTTGGCACAGTAATATGCGCTTTCTGTTTTAAAATAGGCAATAGGGAACACCTACTTCTCATAACGTAAGTATATATAAATAGCATTAAATAAGTATAACAAAAACATTTTCCATGAACCGTCTCCTGGAATTTGTTTATTTCTCTTCATTTGTATCAAGCAAAGCCGTGTCGTAACCAGCAAAACGTAATTACGAAAGAGTTTTCATGGACATTGTACTACTTTTATTTCTTTCCAATGTTTATATTATTATACTTTACTAGGGTTTTCGATTTGATTTGAGATTTATTTAACGGTTATCAGAACTGTTTTGCCCAAATTTTTCTCCTTAAAATAAATATACCCAAATTTACACTTAAGTCTAAAATGCAGTTTACAAATACGATAAGAAAAAGAAATATTGTTATACTCAAGAAATTTTTCCAACATTGTTTATCTTTTTTCATTCAAATATGTAAGACTGAAAATATAAAATCATCATGTATATATAAAATCATAAAGACAACAAATTCACAAATGGATGATTATATATCCCAAAAATTTTGTTGAACATCAAGAAAGAACTTGCTTATGTTAATTGAACTGAAGATCCTCACCAAAGACTGGCGCTATACATGTGTGCGACTGACATTAAGGACCATTATTACATAATATAGGAATCACTCGATAGCATCAGCACAACGGAATATATTAATTGGACTTCATTTACATCATTATATGAACTGTTTCACGGTAGTTTAGGGATGCAAAAATTACACAAAACCGGCCATTGCCCCCCAAAACTACAGTTCAGTGATGTACATGACATTAAGAATGCACTAACATAACTCGCTACACAATGACCATCATTCGCATGTTAGCAGAAGAGCGTAATAAAGAATACGGGCGCATACGTGCGTACCACATCGCCAATTCTAGAACTCTGCTCCCGGCCTGTCACGTCTGAAGCCCGATTGTTATAGCGAATACACCTCCGCGTTTTCAATGCACACGGCGGACGTTCGGAGCGACCCTATGCATACATTTATCGCGTAGAAACCCAATCGCTCGCTGAACGCGAATGTTTGGCCAAACGTTGGTGCAATAAAGTATCGCCGAAACGTAAATGGGCACGTTTCTATTTTGAGAGCGCCAGAGTGGCGCCTTATGGGACAACCGTCAACCTACGAGGCTACTGACAGATGTCAACTTCAACGAAGCCGTGTATTGGTCCTTTGCTAAATTATTAGGCCAGATATCAGCCAAGTTTGAGTTTCCATTGTTCAGAAATATTGTACGATTTTCTTTTCGAAATTGAAAGAATCATTCAACACCCATCACTTCTCACATAGTATTGAATTTATTTTGTCTTAACGTTTGTCTAGATTGACTTTTGAATGACTTTTTGCTATTGACTTTTTGAACATGTACGGAGTGATGAGTGTTTGATAGCCTTTCATACGGACTGGATAGGATGTTTTTCATTTATATTAATTTCAATAACATTTAATTCGATGCCTACAAATGCTGTCAACGTCAGAGTAAACGCTTATTGCCTAATTTTTAATTGAATATTTAGTTCCCAAAAAAATAAGTATATATACTTCCGCTTTACGTCAAGCAACCGTTGACGAAAATAATTGAGTTTTTTAAAACATTGAAGTCCAGTTTTACACTAAATTGTGGAGACATTTATAAAAGGTACAAATCGCCAGCCTTTCGATTTTGTTTATGCTAATATCATAAACACGCGGCCATTATGAATTGGATGAATTGAATAAAATTTGGAAATTAAGCTTGACATATTCGTATAATAAAAATACATATTATTTTGAAAAAAAAAACGTGAACGAAGCCACGTGTAAGAGCTAGTCGAGCTAGTTAGATGTAGTTGTATTCGTAAAATAATTTATTTCGCGCGAATCAATTTAGAACTCAGCATATATTATTCAGTAACAAAAAAACCGGCCAAGTACGCGTCGGACTCGCGCACGAAGGATTCCGTACCATTATAAATAAAAACGGCAAAAAAAATCATGTCTGTTGTATAGGAGCCCCACTTAAATGTTTATTTATTCTGTTTTTTTATTTGCTATTATAGCGGCAACCGAAATACATTATCTGTGAAAAGTTCAACTAACTATCACGGGGCCTGAGATACAGCCTGGTAACAAACGGACAGGCAGACAGGCAAACAGCAGTCTTAGAAATAGGTCACATTTTACCCTGTGGGTACGGAACCCTAAAAATGACACTTTTATCATTCTTTCGCTGTTATTACATGAATGAATTGTTTGAGAAGCCGCTGAACGTATCCATAAGACTTTTCTCTTTGTTTTTATTTCGAATGAACACAAACAGAAAAATGAAAGAGGAATGAATAAAAAACTTTTGTGATAGCATATAGCGACGAACCCGTATAGAAACCGGTTTTACAGCCGCTAGATTTTTTTATCACCTCGGTTAATAAGTCAGTTCCAAACTTTAAAAAGTTTCTGAACCAAACTACCTCTAGATAAAATAAAATCTAAGGAAATGAAATCTTTAATTTTTAATTAAATTCAATTCATAACACTGTAAAATAAATACGATTAATTTTAATCTAAAAAAACTTTAATTGCATTTAACAGGTATTTGTTCATACCAACAATTTGTAGTATGAAATGTAATTTTTTCTTTCGAAAGTTTTAATAATTTTGAAAAATATAGAAATTTCTTCTCCGGCTCTCCGTAAAAAGCAGAAAGCTAATCGTATCGAATATTAGCGTTAATAAATGTTGGTGATAAATAACTTACTAATATAATAGAACAATTTAAAACTTCACAAAACGTGATACAAAGCCGCGATAATAATTTATTAATTCATATTTGTTAATTTAGTTATGTGATAATATTTAATAATTTTAACTTTTTATGGAAAAATCTCCAAAAAATAGAGAAAGTCCAGGAAGATCCCTTATAGTCAATTATAAATAAAAGTCATTTATAAAGTCACATTAGTACACACAAGTCATTTATAAATAAAACACAAACAGCAATAAACTGTCGATAGAATTGTGCCTTCAACGTTTTATAAATAAAAAAACACTAAACTCTACATTCCGCAAAAAAGAAAACATTTTAATTAAAATAACATAATCTTAAAACTTGTAGAAAGTTAATTAAAACTTAAATGCAAAGATTAGCACTATAAAAAAAACTTTAAATAATATAACCTTTTTAATGTACTCAGTGGAATTCAATTCACACAACGTACTATCATAAACAAATTACCTGAGTAGGATTTTAGCAGGGCATTGTTTTATATAAAAAATACCTAAATCAAATAAATTAACAATAGATCCGATTATGTTAATTTCGATTGTTGCACCTACATACCGAAAATAATTTACTTACGGACTCAATATTTTTAAAGTAAATATAATGTGTATATGTTTTAAATGGTGGCAATTTGTTAAAATGTAACTGTAGCGTAAAGCTGAATCAACTATTGGGGAGTGACACAGATGCTAGTCAATCATCAAATCAAATCTTTCAAATCTCACATCTCTCTGTGCTTTACAATTTTATCATTGTTTTCGATTAAAATATATAAAGGACATAAACGAATTGCCATTTAGTAAAGATTGCAGGCGGAAAATGTCACCGTTCAAAATTACGACTCATTACGTTCATAGCGGCGGCCTGTTCGCAACACATTACCGTGGAATCGGTATCAAATGGCAAATGATCTGTAGCCGGAGTGATTGTGGAATATATGAATTATCAGAGCGGATTGAGTAGTTCGGCAGGGGGGGGGGCGAGGTGCGAGAGGGGGGATCCGTCGTGGAGGCGGAGGTAGGTACGAAGTTCAGAGGCCCGGTGCTCACAAATAGCAAGCTGCGACTTGGCATTACAGTGTACTTCCCGACCAGGGCCGCACTCGGCGCCCGGCCTAGACAAGTTTTTTTTTTTTAATAATGTTATTCTGATGTCTTGTTTTACGCGAATACCATACATTGTTAAATGAAACTATTTTATAAATTTTATCGCTCTCTCTTTTGCTCAGATTTTTGCTTAGATTTTTTTTTTTACTTTCGAATAAAAACAACTCGGTCTGTCCCGTGACCGTGAACGCTAGAAAACGTTCGAAATGTCGAGAATTTTAAAATCTAAATAAACCAACACTCGATTGGAACGGAGTTCCTTTCGCTATATCTTTTTATATTAATAAAAAAGGGTATTTAAACCTAGAAATTCATGTTTCAATATTTTTGCGTATCTCAAAATTGATTGAAAAGGTGCCTCAAAATTGTCATACTTTTTTCTGTTTAGCCTCTAAATCGCAATAAGGAAATTTGTCCAAAAACGACTCGATATTCTACGAAAGTTTAGTAAATTTCCAAAAACTTTATTCCATTGATTGATGCGTATTGTTTGTGCGTGATTGGTAAAAACTAATAGTAGTTGCTAATCAAAAAGATTTGTTATCGCTACCACATATGAACCTGAAACTACAAACTGATAAATCCTGAAAATTAAGAATGGAAAAATTCATTTATGAATTATTGTGAGCTATCTAATAGATCTATACTTTGTTTCAAATGTGAGCTTTGTTACAAATAGGAGCGAACTCGGGAATAGTTTCGTTCGCATTCTAGGACTTTCGCTAGCGATACGTGAAAATTCACTGATATTCCGAATCGGCCTTCAGGTGGGAGATTCGACGTCATTGAGGGATTGAAAAGGAGCTCAAAATAAGCGGAGCCGGCGACGGGGGGAGGGGTGGCGCGGGGGTGGGCGCGTGGAGGGCGGCGGGGGGCCAGGGAGCGGTGTCACTATCGTGACGAGCGCGCCCACACGATCACCATGACTACGGAGGCTCAGCGTCGAGTGCGGCCCTGGGTGGCCTTGCAATGGAATGGGGAGGGCATTAGCCCCGTCTTGCACGCCGCTATCAGTCCGCTCGCCAAAATTTTCGGCGGCGCGTTTTCCGCTTTAATGTTCCCCATAGCCCGGCTCGACTGTTAGACGCTCGAACGGTTTCGGACGGCGAACGACAGAGCACACTGCGATGCCCTAAAACCGCATCGCCCGTTCCGACCGGGAGCTCACGAGTGGCCCAATTTAAATTTAACGATTTATTAAATCCGTTTGCTATGCCTCTGTCTATATTAAAAAAATCATCTGAATTTTTAGCTGAAATTTAATTTAGCGCGTTAGATAATTATCGTGTAAGCTTATTCGTACACTTTTTAATTAAAGAATTAGAAACACTCTACCTCCTTCTAAGCGTGATACGTGTGAACTGGAAATAATTGGAGGTGCTTAAAAATTTTCTGTTTATGCTTAGTAATTCAAGTTTAAATATTTAAAAGATTTAAATATTTTAACTTGAATTACAAAAAAGCCCTATTGTTGGTGCGAACGCAGCATTTCCGCAAAGCGCTCGAAGCGGCATAAAAACAGAATCGCGCGTGCAAATAAAAAAACGCTAGCCTCGTGTGGTTGGAAGTGAATTTTCAAGGTTGATGGCAATGGCTCGAAATGCATTTGCTCAACCATTACGTGACCGCGCCGTGTCGGTTGATTCAACGTTTTTTATCTCGTCTATGATACCACGATAGGAAGCCCAATTTAGCGGTGGACAACACTAGCTCTTACTCATAAGTAATTCGAACATACCGAAAACGTGTGACCGCCTCTATGGGATTCCAAGCTGAAATTACAAATTGTGAACTTAGTCACTAAATAATCTGTATCAGTTATTCATATTCACATTTTTTGTTCATTATTTTGTTCACATTTTTTGTTCATTATTTTGTTCACATTTTTTGTTTATTATATGATAGGTCAACTACTTTCAAATTAGGAGTAAACTATATTATAATATATTAATTTAAGAAATAAATTTCAGTTCTCCGTAAGGTTTTTTCATTGGCGTCATTCATTAATTAGTGCTCTATTATTATTTTATTTTTTGCTATCATCTAGCTTTATCTAGATAAATAATCCATACAAATCCAACTGTTAACATACATACACTTATGTGTACTCTATTATCTAGGAATGCATTACTTGGCTGCTATTACAAATGACAATACTAAATATATACTATAAAACTTGCTACTATAAATGACAATAATTATTTATCGGTAACGATTTAACATTTCATCTTTACACCTATAGTTAAGATGTAATGTTAAAGAATAAGTTCAGTTTTAACTGTATCCTAATGTAGAACCAACGAATAATATAAATTCAATGTAGAGTTAGAAGAAGTGCATGTTATGAGGAAAATATATTCTGTGTATATATGTCTACATCAAAATTCAAAATATATGATTAGTCCTTAAATATTTTCCAATAAACATTTTTTTACTACAATAACAGCTATTACGCACGTCGTGCCGTGATATAATTATTGTCACCGCAGTGTGGTCACACCACGGCGAAACTTTCGAAATGAACAAGATAAGGACTCGTTAATAAAAAGGTTTAGCAAGATGATGACCAACTTCAACTTTATGCTTAGATAGATTGTTAATGTCGATGAGGTTTGTGAAATGTACATAATATTTTGTAGCCAACTAGGGTGATCATATTAAATTTAGAATATTTGCATAAGGAATTATTTTATTATTAACAATATTAATAACTAGATTTAGTTAATATAACGTGTTATTCATTTATTGGAGTAGCAATTTAATTTTAATAAAGAATAATACAGTATTAATAGTACCTTTTGAATCAATGAATTGTACTAATGTGGCAATGAAAGATGTATAGTAAGGATTGTTTACATCTCATTTCCATATTCAGCATCAAGAAGTAACAGCGTTAGCGAACAGTGGTTTTATTATTAATTTTACTACGGATAGCAGATGTGGAATTTGTTCAACACTGAATTCCTTGCTCGTGATGATGATGATAACTGTTTTATAGTAAAAGAAATGCACGTAGCTTACACGTTCACTGCAAATAATAAAATGTTATTGGTTTTGTGAGACTAACAGCATAAAAATATGTTCTTAGTTTACATTCCGATGCTACAGAAACAACTAATTTGCGTATAGCTCAATTATATAAACCGCTAATCTAAATGTTCTGAGCTCACTCAGGCACGTCCCTACTCGTTATAAAAGTACACAGCAATTAACGTAAACGATAATTAAAAACACGTTAAATATCTGTGAAAACAATCTTCACGTTCACCGTAGCAAAAAAATAAAATAATAATAGAGTACTAATTAATGAATGGCCATTGAACAAACCTTACGGCGAACTGAAATTTAATTCTCAAATTAATCCTTAAAGAAAAAGTAAAGTAACAGCCTATACATGTCCCACTGCTGGGCAAAGGCCTCCTCTATACAGAGGGTATCAGGGCATAGCATGGGGGCACGCGGCCCCACTGCGGATTGGCGGACTTCACATATCTTCGAAATATATATTTTTTTTGTTATTATTTCGAAAATATGCAGGTTTCCTCACGATGTTTTCCTTCACCGCGGAGCACGTGATAAGTCAGCACTTAAAGTTAAAAACTTCATTGGTGCCGGCACCGGGGATCGAACTCAGGTTGCTCGAGTATATTGAATTAAAGGCGAGCGCCCGGACACTGGGCTATCACGGCTCTTACTAATATTATAAATGCGAAAGTAACTATGTCTGTCTGTCTCGCTTTCACTCCAAAACTACTGAACCGTTTTAAACGATTTGGAATTTGGTACACAGATAGTCTAGAGCCTCAGAAAGGACATAGGCTATTTTTTATTGTAAAAAAGTTTTGTAAAGCGTTGAAAGATATTTATTTAAGGGCTTCAACGCTAGTGAAGCCGCGGGAGAAAAACTAATATATTATAATATAGTTTACTCCTGATTTGAAAGTATGTATGTATGAATATATAATGAACAAAAATGTGAATATGAATAACTGATACAGATTATTTAGAGACCTTTAGCTCACAATTTGTAATTTCAGCTTGGAATCCCATAGAGGCGGTCACACGTTTTCGGTATGTTCGAATTACTTATGAGTAAGAGCTAGTGTTGTCCACCGCTAAATTGGGCTTCCTATCGTGGTATCGTAGACGAGATAAAAAACGTTGAATCAACCGACACGGCGCGGTCACGTAATGGTTGAGCAAATGCATTTCGAGCCATTGCCATCAACCTTGAAAATTCACTTCCAACCACACGAGGCTAGCGTTTTTTTATTTGCACGCGCGATTCTGTTTTTATGCCGCTTCGAGCGCTTTGCGGAAATGCTGCGTTCGCACCAACAATAGGGCTTTTTTGTAATTCAAGTTAAAATATTTAAATCTTTTAAATATTTAAACTTGAATTACAAAGCATAACCAGACAACATTTAAACACCCCCAATTATTTCCAGTTCCGGGCGTTCACCTTCATTTTAATATACTCGAGCAACCCGAGTTCGAACCCCGGTGGCGGCACCAATGAAATTGTTAATTTTAAGTGCTGACTTATCACTTGCTCAGCAGTGAAGGAAAACAACGCGAGGAAGCCTGCATATTTTCGAAATAACAACAAAAAGAAACATTGCGAATTCTTTTGAAGTCCACCTACCCGCAATGGTGCTGCGTGGTGGACTACGCCCAAATACCCTCTATACAGAGCAGGCCTTTGCCCAGCAGTGGGATATGTATAGGCTGTTACATTTTTATATACATTTCAAATCTTTAGGTGTAGAAATCCCATGCGGAGCAAAACTGTACAAACGTGCGTCGAAATATATCGCTAATAATCTCATGCCAATACACACATGGAATGGAATGTTTAATATACACAATTTACATGCACTAATTTACTGGGTGAGAAAATTTACTACCTTAACCTTAAATACTAAGAACTTAAAACAAAAAAATAATTTATGCAGTGCCGCAGTACATGCAGGTGATAGTAGGTAATAATTCTACCCCAAATGGTAATAGACACTTCACCTGTTTTAATGAATTATTTTAGTTATCTAACACATTATCGGTTAAAAAATGACATGAACACAGGGACTTAATAGTTCCGAACCATAGAAATATTTCTAGTTTCTATTTGTTCCAAACTATCTGTTTGTGTTTACGTTGTTATCATTAGTAATTAATCTCTTTCTTATTTTCAGAAACTGCAGGTATATTTAATACCTAATGACTTTGATTAAAACAGTAATGTATACATGTATGTGACGAAGAAACTCTTGCGAAAGTTTTTTTTTGTTATCAAGAAGCATAGCGCTTGTTTTAGTTTCAAATGACTTAGAAACCAAAATCGAATACTACATATGACTTATATTCTAGTACTAGCGACTAAATTACTGTTGCGCACCGAATGTTAACAACATCAAGCGTCTACACAAACTACAGCGGAACGATGTTGAAAACAACCACCATATCCATCACCGTGTGACTATGCAAGTTCGCAAAACGATCCCACAACCAAGCGCGAAATGGACGGGGCCGGCGATGAACCAACAAAAACCTAGGTGAACGGGAAATTTCGAAGACGAGGTCGTATTATTCGTAATGAATACGACTCGCGTGCGTTTCCGTGCGTGTGGTTCCTCAGTTTCCTCCATGGCAGACTGAGCGGCCTCGATTTTCAGCACTTTTACGGCTATAACTTATTTCACCGCAGCTCTAAGGTGAACCTAGCTGAAATAATACAGCGGTGAAGCCCTACATTAAAACGAAAAAACTTCTATACTTGATTTAAATTCTTACATCATTTAATAGGAAATACGCGCAAAGACGAATGCAATACGCAACGATTCAAACACCATACACATAATTCCGTATGAAATATTTTAAAATACATTTAATGATTAAACATGCGAGCTAAAAATTAAACGTTTTAGATTTTTTTATATAATACCTACATAAAATAGAAATTGTTTTGTATACTTTATTTTAATGTTATTTGATATTACTGAAGGCACTGGTCAGTTTGTAACAAAAGTTTTTGTTATATTGTTGCATTTTAGCAAAACTTTAAGCAGTACCCAACTCCGTAAT